CATAACTTTCCCAAACGTATTTGCTCGTAATATAACGACGCCGACTGGAATTGGAACTCGGCTCTTCGATTTCCGATTCGCACGTTATCCATTACACTATCTGCACACCCAACATTACAAAGCGTGGTTTTTCTAACGGTCATCCATCTCGAGACTAACTAGGCTCGACGTTGCTTAACGTCGATGATCGTACGAGAACCATTGTTTCGACGTGATATGTCGTTAAGCAGGAAAATATAGTAAAGAAAAAGATAGAAAAGAAAAAGAAAGCAATTCGAAAGGAGAGGAAGAAAGCAAAGGAATATGAAAGAAAGAGAAGGAACGAAGGAATGAAAGGATAAAAGAAAAAGAGACAGAAAAGTGAATAAAAAGTAGAAAGAAAGAAAGAAAGAAAGAAAGAAAGAAAGAAAGAAAGAAAGAAGAGAATAAATTAATAAATGAGAATATCACAGCGGTCAGATAAACAAGAAAAGAAGGATAAAATGGAGAATAAAGAGAGAGAGAGAGAGAGAGAGAGAGAGAGAGAGGTGTAAAATGTTTTAATAAATAAATGATAGAGAAGAAAATAAATAAGAGACATTTTTTCTCTCCGGAATCTATCTTGCATATCTATAAGTCTGCCATTCATCCATGCTTAGAATATTGCTTCCATATATGGTCCGGTGCTCCTACTAATTACCTTGAACTTCTTTATCAAATCGAAAGAAGAATCAGCAATATACTTTGCCCTTATTTTCTAATAAGCTTGGGGATTAATTACACATTCTTATTGTTCAAAGTAGAATTCAATAGTTTAAAAAAAATCCTCGTAGAATTCCAAGAAGGTATCTTTAATCATTTCGAAGATACAATGGTTCAGAATTTAATCTAATAATTGGACAATTTTGCTGTTACACGATTTGGACAAATTTTGCTGTTACATCCGGTATTACTCGCAGTTGATATCAAATAGAAATGCAGCATGTTGTAAATTAATTTTTACATATAGTTTCTGTAATTTTAAGTAAATGTTTGATATGTTTTAATAGTCCGCTGCACAATTTACACATTAACAAATAGTTCAAAAGAACAATAGAGCATTGGCTGCAGTCCACTATATGAAGAGGAACCGTTTCTGTTCATGAGATCATTATTCGTATCTACATCCAATTTCTTCTGCATCCAATTCACCTAACAATTCAATGGAAAGCAACACGCATGTTTCCAAATTTTCTCCAGAAGGCGAATTTCTTAACCTTGTCTTTATGATATTTAGCTTTGAAAATGTCCTCTCACATTGGACATGGGGAACTAATAATGTGCAAACGAATTTATAATATTCGTATTCTTTTTCATTGCTAAACAGTTGTCTGTGTTTGTTTCTTTATTGCAATTTATTTGATGTTGAGGGTGGGGTGGCACGTGACTAGTTCCGTCTACAGAATTTAATCAATTGGGTCAAGAAATGTTATGGGTTTCTGACACTTTTCAACAGGCAGAGATCATCTCCTCAATCTGTTGTTATCAGGAATTCATCTTCCTGACAAATAGACCATGTCAAGATCCGGGCCCAAAACTCATGGTCATGGCGCGACAGTTTCAACCAAAAATGGAATATTCTGCCATCTCTGAGATAGAGCTAACAAGAAGAAAAAATATATATGGAAAAAAAAGAAAAACGAATAAAGAATAGAAAATGAGGTGTAAAGATAGATAAGGAAAAAGCTGGAAGACAAATAAAGATGAAGAATGAAAAGAGAATCACTGTTTAGAAATGAAATATGAAGCGAAGAAAAATAGAAAGAAAAGCATAGGAAAGCATGATTGAAGAAAAAAAGAAAATTTGAAGGAAAATTTAAAAGAATGAAATAAAGAAAATATGGAAGAAATAAAGATGGATGGAAAAAGAACAAAAATATGATCGAAAGAAAAAAGAAAATCTGAAGGAAAAATAAAAAAGAAGAAAATTTAAATAATGAACGAAAATGAGATGGAAAAGTTTTGTCTGGGATTTGATCTCTCCACTTTTCGAGCTCAAGAATATCAACGGAGGATAAACTGGTTTGTAAGTATCAACAGCTCAAAAACCAAACTAGGATCATTGAATCATTACTGATCAGGTATCTCTAGACATGATTAACAGCTTCTTACGCGATAAAACGTCTTGCCCTGAACATTTATTGACACTCACGTCGTCCTTTAAAAGGTAACTCGTATATACCATAGATTGCCAAAGTTTCTAGAAAAACTGTCGGCTTACTGTACTGCTCCCCAAAGTTCCTCGTCTTTATGCTATTTACATTGTTTGGTCTGTTGTCTTTATTTCCAAATTCTTGACATTTCGGCCGTTGTACGCTCCGGTCTTCTTTAGGTGATATATGTTGGAATTTCGAAACGAACCCTTTATTTCAACTCGTTTGAGCAAATTGTTCTCGTTCCACGTGGCATGCATTCTCAGGATATCTTACTTTCAGTTATTTTTCTTAAGCAACTCAGCTCAGTTTTTTTGTTCATCTCTGCTGTGGCCAGGTATTGAACGGATAACTCTTTGAGACATTACTCCAATCAACGCTTTAATCGACTTGTCCATGAAGAAGCTTGGAGTGTACAACCACCCAAACGTTGTGAATATTAAAATAAAAATGAGGAGAACAGTCAGAAAAATGTAAATAGTGTAGTTACAATACCTCATCTCAGAAATAAATAAATAACGAAAGAAAGAAGTGAGAAAATTCGACGGAAAAAGGAAGAAAATCAAAAGGATACAAATATGAAAGAAAAAAATGAAATAAGATAGAAAAAGAAAATTTAAAAAATGAATGAAAAATAGAAAGGAAATTTGAAGGAACTAACAAATAATGATTAAACGAAAAAAGGTGATAAAATTAGAAGCAAAGAAAAATATGAAGCAATAACGAAAATAAAAAGAAAAGTGAATGAATGAAAATTTGAAAGAAAAAGTGAATTATAATATGGCGAAAGAAATAAAGAAAAGCAGAAGAAAACAAGGATAAATATAAAAGAAATAATGAAAATCAAAAAGAAAAAGAAAATTTTAAAATGAATCAAAGATAGAACGAAGATTTGAAGGAAAAAGAATGAAAGAATGAAAAAAGAAATAAAATCAGATGGAAGAAAAATATGAAAATCATAAAGAAGATAAGAAATTGAATAAAAAAAAATTGAATTCGAAAGGAAATGAAATATGAACAAACGAAAGAAAAATGAAGAAAATTAGACAATCAGAAAGAAATAAAGAAAATATGAAAGAAATAATGAAAAAAGCAAATTTACTTAACGAATGAAAAAAAATTTGAAGAAAGAAATAGGAAAGAAAGCAAAAGGTCAGAAAATCAGAAGGAAAGAAAGAAAAATATCAAAACATAAGAAAGAAAATGACGATTTAAATAATGAAAGTAAATATGAACGAAAAAAAAAGAAAAACGAAGAAAATAAAAAGTCAGACGGCAATGTGAAAAAAATAAAGAACAAAAACAGAAAAAAGAAAAAGTTAATGAAAGATAGAAAAAAATTGAAGAAAGAAAATAAGAAGGAAAGAAAGAATAAATGAACAGAAAAAAAAACAGAAGAAAAATTTAAAAGAAAAATAAAGAAAAAATCAAATCTAATTGTATAAATGCGGAAAGAAAAAAAGAAAGAAAGAAAGGCACAAGAGAAAAGTATCTGTCTATATCTCTAAGATGAGGTATGTATAATTACTTGCATTATTTACATTATACGGGCTGTTATCCTTATCTTCATTGCCATATTCACAACGTTTCGGTCGTTGTACGCTCCGGCCTTCTTCAGGTGCTTGGAATTCGAACCGAATCCTCAAGGACAAATGACCCAGTAGATAAAAAGGCGTTGTTTACATCCAGTGACTAATCCAAGGGAGTTGTGAGCCCAATATCAGGCTACAGCAGCGGTGAACAAAAAAAACTTGGGGAGTTGAGTTAAAGGGAAATAACTGAGACATTCGGAAGAGGCATGGCACGTAGAACGAGAACAATCTACCCCCCCCCCCAGTGAACCAAATAAAGGGTTCGGTTCAAAATTCCAAATATCTCAAGAAGGCCGGAGCGTACAACAGCCGAAACGTTGTGAATATGGCAATGAAGATGAGGATAACAGTCCAAATAATATAAATAATGCAAGTAAAAGAAAAGTGAAGGAAAGAAAATATGAGAAATATAAAAATGTATAAGAAATAAAGAAAGAATTTAGAAAGAAAAAAAAAAGAAAAAGTTTAAAGAAAGAAAAGGAAAATGTAAGGAATACAAAATATATATTAGGAATTATGAAAGAAAGAAAATGTGCAACAGTTGTATGAGAGTAAGTGTCGTTGCCGACACTGTGGTTTGAAACTAGATTGCCAGTGAGTAACACGGTGATTCCATTATTAATTAGATCATGAAGTGAATAAAGAGGAAGTAGCGTGATGACTATACGATCACTGTTCACTTTTCTTGTCTATCCAATATTGCTATACATTCACTCTCTCTATTCCACTACTACATGGATTGCGATTCACTTGGGGTCATTATACTATTTGGCGATTACTACTTGACCAAGTATTGCTAGTGCGGATATTACTGGAAGGCGTTCACAGCGTCCATGAAGTCTCGAATATAAGGAGAATTTTCGGAAGTGATAACGATAACTGTTTGATATAGCAAAAGTGACAAGAGAAGCCGTCCAACATCCCAAAAGTAGCGACAAGCATTCACAAGGAATCGCAAAAGCAAAAAAAAAAAAAGGAAAGAAAAATATGAAAGAAAGAAAATATGAAAGACGGAAAGGAATATACGGAAAAAAGGCATTGAAGCAAACAAAGGTAAAACTTGAAGGAAACACAATGATCGAAAGACAATATGAACGAGAGAATGACTGACAGAAAACAAAATTATATGTTACAGATTATGATTTTTCTCAGTTAAGGGAGCTCTACCCATAGGAATTGATTAGCACTTGACAAAGAAATCTCTGTGGGTGTCATTAACAAAAGAGATTTTTTCACAATGAAAAGAATATTCGGCAAGATTCGACGAACTGAAACACTAATGTAAATATTTTTAAAATCAACATTGAGATAAATGCATGAGAAAATATAAACGGAATAAAATTCTTCTATTTCTGCTACAAGAGCCGCTCGGTACACAGGACCAGCGCAGTTGGGAACAATGTGTCCAGCCATGACTTCCCAGTCGCGATAAAATTCAAATGCCTCTATGTGTCGCTGTGGGTGACAAATTATTCCCCACCAGTCATGCCACGCCCATTGTAGCGAACCACCCTCACTCTCTTTGTATTCCATTTTTGAGATGTAAGTTCCCCTCTAGCAGATTCTTCCTACGAATCGCTGCTTTGTAGAACTTACACTCGAGAGGATGCATTTGCAAACACAATGAACTTAACCTGTTCATATCTAGGGTCAACCGTTATCTTCCCCACATATCCACATAAATTGTACCTCTTACTCTGTAAGCCTCTACCTGCTTTATGAAATCGACTCCCAAGAAGATGTTTTCCCAAACACTACAATCTAAAACTGTTCAAATCTAGGGTTATCCATTATCTGCCCCATATATCCACATATAATGTGCCACTTGCTTTGTAGCTCTTTACGTCGAGTGACACCCAGGCTTTTTACACGGTGAATCTAACTGTAAAAAAGTTAATGATGAAGTCAATATAGTCGTATTAACCTTTAGAGGACATGAGTGATATTTGGAATATAAATGAGAACATTTTTCTATGTCCACAATCAAACAACAACAAAAAAAAATCTAGAGAGATTGGTATTTACAAACATGTAGGAAAACAAAGGTTTTCCTGGGATTTGGTCTCTCCACTGTTGGAGCGTAAAAATATCAACGAAGGAAAAATTGGCTTGTAAGTATCAATAACTCTAAAACCAAACTAGTATCATTGAATCCTTACTGCGCAGGTATCTCCAGACATGATGAACAGCTTCTTACCTGATAAAACCTCTTGCCTTGAACATCTATTGACACTCAAGTACTCCAAATGGTAACTCGTATATACCATAGATTGTGAAAGTTTCTAGAAAAACTGTCGGCTTACTGTACCGCTCCCAAAAGTTCATAATTTACACTATTGAAATTGTTTGGTCTGTTGGCTTTATTGCCATTTTCATATTTCGGCCGTTGTACGCCCCGGTCTTCTTCAGGTGATGTCCGTTAGAATTTCGAAACGAACCATTTATTTCAACTCCTTTAAATAGATTGTTCTACTTCCACATGTCATGAATTTTCCTGATATTAAATGGCGTCGTTCATTAATGGTTCAGCTTGTCGACTCTTGCCGAATATTCTTTCCATTGTGATGAAATCTCTTTTTTTTAATGACACCCACAGAGATTTCTTTCTCGTGTGCTAATCAGTTCTTCTGGGTAGAGCTCCCTTAACTGAGAAAAATCATAATCTGTAACATATTATTTTCTTTTCTGTCACTCATTCTGTCGTTCATTCTTGCTTTTCTGATGTTGGATGGCTTCTCTTGTCACTTTTGCTGTGTCAAGCGAAAAATCGTTATCACTTCCAAAAATTCTTCTTATATTCGAGTCTTCGTAGACGCCGGTACTAGTAGTAACGCCTCCCAATAATATCCGCACTAGTAATAATTGTTCAAGTAGTAATCGCCAAATAGTATAAAGATCCCAAGTAAATTGCAATCCGTATAGTAGTAGAGAGGGTGAACATATAGCAATTGTGGATAGACAAGAAAATTGAACAGTGAGCGTATAGTCATCACGGTGCTTCCTTTTTGTTCATTCCTTTATGGTCATGTGATCTACTTAATAATGGAATCGCCCGTGTTACTTACTGGCGATCTGGTGTCAAACCACTTACTCTTATACAACACTTGCACATTTTTTTCTGTCATAATTCTTAATATATATTTTGTATTCCTTACATATTCCTTTTCTTTCTTTTCTTAAAATTTTCTTTTTTTCTTTCCAAATTCTTTCTTCATTTCTTATACGTTTTTATATTTTCTCATAATTTATTTCGTTCACTGTTCTTTTACTAGCATTATTTACATTATTTGGACTGTTATCCTCATCTCCATTGCCATATTCACAACGTTTCGGCCGTTGTACGCTCCGGGCGTCTTCATGTGTCTGGAATTTCGAACCGAACCATTTATTTCGTCTACCGCAGTAGATTGGCCTAGTTCCACGTGCCATGCCTCTTTCGGATGTCTCAGTTATTTCCTTTTAGTAACTCAACTCTCCAAGTTTTTGTTCACCCCTGCTGTGGCCAGGTACTGAACTCACAATTCTTTGGGCCAAGTCGCTGGATTACCTTCAATCAATGCTTTTATCCACTTGTCAATGAAAAATGCTGCAGCTTAAAACGTCCTAAACGTCGTAAATATTACAATACAAATGAGAACCACATAACAAATGTAAGTAGTGTAGCTACAATACGTAATCTCAGCAATATAGCAGGTCCTTTATTCACCATGCTTTACACTTACAAAGATCGGATTAGACCTAAATGTACATATTGCAGGTGAATCGAGGGCAAAGATTGATTATCACCCTTTGGGTAAGATGAAGTCCCGAGGGTCACATAACAGCCGGTAAGTAACGTCAGTTCGTAGGGGTGAAAAATACCAGTTGCTATTTAGCATGCACAGAAGCAAGACCTGAATGCTTATACCAGTTACTAAATAGACCGAGGAGAAATCCGACGCCACAAGCCCACTGCGGTAGGTAGAACAGAGGAATCCACATGTTACTACGAACGACATAGAAGATACCACTGCCCTGACAGCAGTAGCATGCAGAAGTAGGTGAGCGGAAGGTGCGAGAATCCTTATCGGGAGGGCATCCAATCAAAGAATGAAATATAAACTAAGTGTTTATTTTATGTTTCATCCGTTTTTACATATCTAAAATATCTCCCTTCCTCACATTTCTCAGTACTAGACCCTATACCCCCACTTACTTGAGTCTTACAGCGTATAAAATCATGGGGTTTTCCCCGAGTATCACCAAACTTCCCCCAGAGAAATGTTACAAGTAAGACCCTCTCGCTTCTTGCTCTTTCATAATACTTGTTCTGTTCATATGTTAAAATTTCTGTGTGTGGGACAAATTATTGACACATACTTGTATATTTGGATATAATTTCTTTTATGACGTAGAGGTATATGACATATCTTTGAGAATAATGCATGTTTGAAATTCCTTTCTTTCAGCTATTCTGTTCCATTCGTGCAAGAATGTTTTCCTATATCTCAGATATCATAATGCCTAGAATGGAGAACTGTAAATTGGAAATATTCTTTCTTGCTTAACACTCCCATTACAGCTATATCAGGAGCATAGCTGCCAAAGCGGTTGTTTGTAATATCGAGTCATTATTAAATAAATTCTTGACTTTGAATAAATGTGCAGTTCCATTCGGTTTTCAAAGTCGATAGATTGATTGAATCTACAGCATATCGATAAATTGATTGATTTCTACGGCATTTCATGCTCTTTAAAGCCTATATATATATATATATATATATATATATATATATATATATATATAAAGAAATATAGTCTTAAGGTGTGCTATATTTATGGAATAAAGTGCTCAATATCAGAGATAGAGCGTGTGTAAATATAAAGTGAACATAGAAGTCAACACTTAGAGGCGACAGTCTGCTATATGCAATTGTCAGGCCTGACGATTGCATATAGCTTGAAACAGACTGTCATGTTCCTTTATATATATATATATATATATATATATATATATATATATATATATATATATATATATATATATATATATATATAATAAGGTTTTAGTGATATAACATTGACTAATTAACCCATAGCTGTGCGTAAGATATGAATTCCTACTTTTTCCAATTGGTGTGCGTAAGAGAAATACAATGAACGAAGCTTGAATTGCAACTCGGTTCTTTGTTGAATGTCGAAGAAAATCGTGAAAAATATTCAATTTTACAAAGTCGAATTCAAATATTATTAAAGTTAATACAGTCATTTACTTGTCGGTTGAATGCATCAATCGTACACTTGCTTTCAGACAGACATTGATTTCTGTAAACAAAATCAAAATCAATCCACATCCATACATTTAAACTTATATAACTACTCGCTGTGACAAAAAGACACGCATCTTCTGCGAAAGTCCATGGACATACTTAACGATTTAAATGCGTGCGCGTCTGAACCATGACGTATAGATGTACACAGGAAACTACACAGAGCAAGAAAGACGGGTTTTTGCATAGAATTTTTTCAATAAAACAAAATGTAGACAGCAGCCAAAGTAATTTTGTGAACGATACACTCTTTGCCAATTTGAATATTTCTCAGTATAATTCTTTAACGTATTCTAAAAAAATAAAATCAATTTTTGTTTTTAAATTTCTTTCTATCACCAAAAAATTATTTTCGATCTTTTTGTGTTTTCTGTTTTAGATTTTTTTCCCCTTTTTTTTCTACTGAAATAATTTCTTTTCTTTAACTTGAGAATTTCAGCCTTGGTCTGCACATTACTTTGTTAAAATCATTTTATGAAAAATATTATTTCATTTTTGTATTTAGCTACAATAGCTTTGTTTCACGTTTAATATCTATCTATCTATCTATATATCTATCTATCTATCTATCTATCTCTATATGTGTGTGTGTGTGTATGTATGTATGAGTGTGTGTGAGCGTATGAGTGTATGTGTGTGTATATATGTGTGCATAGTTATTTACGTGCATATTAAAATTAGACCATTTAATTTTTTCTTCTTTGTCGGAATTTAAATTTGGTCTTATTTTTGTCAGCGAAAATATTTTTCTTTAAAGTAGTATGCCTTGTATGAGAGGCAACATTGAAAGCCGATTTAAGAGCAACGATTGTGGTTCCATTCGGAGTAAAATTCCTATTTTCAGATATAATTGCAAAGAGAAAAGATTATGGTTGTAAATAAAATGTAGACGTGTATAAGTCGATACATCTCTCTATGTCTGTTCATATCTCTCTCTCTCTCTCTCTCTCTCTCTCCATCTCTCTATTCATCTATCTATCTATCCATATCGGTACATATCATCTATCTATCTATCATCTATGTCTGTTTATCTCTATCTATCTCTCTATCTCTCTCTCTATCTATCTATCTCATCCATCTATATCGGTACATATCTATCTATCTATCTATCTATCTATATCTGTTTATCTCTCTCTATCTATCTATCTATCTATCTATATCGGTACATATCTATCTATCTATCTATCTATCTATCTATCTATCTATCTATGTCTGTTCATATTTATGCCTGTTCACATCTCTCTATTATCTATCTATATATCTATCTATGTCTGTTCATATCTATCTATCTATCTATCTATCTATCTATGTCTGTTCATATCTATCTATCTATCTATCTATCTATCTATGTTCATATCTATCTATCTATCTACCTATCTATCTATCTATGTCTGTTCATATTTATGCCTGTTCACATCTATCTATCTATCTATATCTATCTATCTATCTATTCATATCTATCTATCATTCATCTATCTATCTGTATGCCTGTTCATATCTATCTATCTATCTATCTATCTATCTATCTATCTATCTATGTCTGTTCATATCTATCTATCTAGCTATCTATGCGCTGATGAGCATCCGAAACCTGATAGATCATCATCCTCGTCAAACCCTTCAATCTCGCCTCCATCGTCAACCTCCTAGATCTGATCGAATTCTTTCTTTGTCATGGTAAAATTCTACTTAGTAGGTATCATAATCATCGTCATCTTTGCATTCTTGTGCTAACTCTATTGACGCCAGTTTCTTTATATATTCTTCGCACAGGATGTCATCTTCGGTGTCGAATCTGAAAGCTTTGAAAATGATAGCGTCATCCAACTCTTCCCAGGCGTCGGCAATCCACTTGCAAATGTCTTGAATCTATGGTTTTCTAATTTTATCTCCCGATGTGAAGGTGAGATTTATTTCACTTTGTTGCAATACAGAACGCCGAAGTGCCCAAGTGATTTTCTAAGCATAACTTAGATGGGGTATGAAGATGAATGTATAGGGCACCCGGTGAGGAAAGATCTTATTTTTCAGTTGTGATTATTATAGCGAGACAAGTTTTATTGCATCTCTTCGAAGTGTCCAATTATGTTTGTAAGGACCATTTTCTAAGCATATGTTAGATGTGTTTTGTAATGTTGTCCGGGATGTTTATTATATAATTAGAACGGCAACTTACAAAAGATAAGAGTCTATTTTAAGCAAAGAGCCATACAAGTAGATATTTACAAGTTCGTCTGAAGGTGGAAAGCAAGTGGTATTTACCCGATCTCCCCAAGAGGCAGGATGCGGCACAAGGCCGATTTTTATGTGGGACGTAGGCTCGGGTAAAATTTCCCCGTTGACCCCAGCTCATAAACAGGGTCGGATTTGTCTATTTTCTCAGATGAGACTCTGCCCTTCAGCATAGCCTCGTATGAGTTCCTCTCTGCTCGAAAGCAGAGACTTCGACATGCTCAAACGTTAGCTGGAACCAAGCGATATCTACCCGACCTCCCCACGAGGCAGGATGTGGTACAAGGCCGATTTTTATGTATGGTAATCCGAGCCAGTAGATCCCACATATACGGGTTCGGGTTTATCCCCATCCCCAGACATTCTGCCCTTCGGCAGAGCCTCATCTTGGTTCCTCTCTGCTTTCGGGTAGAGAGATCTACGTCTTGATGCTTGCTGGAAATATATATATATCGGATTTCTTCAAGGGATCCCATCTTGAAAAGGAAAGTTAAATTTACCCATTTCAGGAACGCACATCTCATGTTGGGTTTTTTCCAAGTCTATGTCTTTTAACTTCATTTTCCTACCCGAAACATACGCAAGAGTAATATTTTAAATTGAATATTTAATCGAACTATTTTTATTACTCTTGTAAACTTCCAACACCCTAGTCGGTCGTCCAAGACTTCCAACACCGCGGCTGGTAGCTTAAGTGACGACTTCAATAACCTTATCCCACGTTGTGATTTAAGTTTGATCATAAGGAGGCCAGGATCGAATCATCGCAGGTATCTTCATGTTGGGCTGGTCCAGGCAGGGCGAGGACATACAGATAAAAAATAACACAGGAATACCTTGAATAAAAGTAAATACTGTTTTTATACCAGTCCTTCGTACAATAACTGGTGATATCAGATTTTTATCAGCCCAGCCCGCATCTAAATCGGAAGTGATACTATTGTCGATCTGGCAGAAATCTGTTTGCTGTCTTTGGTTAAGTTTGACACAAGGCTGAAATCGGAGGCTTCCCTTCGGCAGATAATCATGTGGGCCTATCTTCTCCCTTCTGTCACTGTCTCTGTCTCGTCTCCCTCGTTTCGCGCATTAGTATTTATAATTTTGGGGAATTCCCTTCCTCCAAACTCTCATAACATGCCATCCTCAGTGAGCGTGAGTGGCATATTCCCCTCACGCTACTGTCTCGAATCACTTTCGACCAGGAGAATCAACTCTAAATTCGATGTTTACGAAAAATAAAATTTTCGCTTTGCAGCTTGCATTTGCAGTTGTGTGTCAATCTACCTTTCCCCTTAAGTCAAGTCACTCTTTCATTGTTCAAACTGCTCGACATACAATTCGAGTCGTTTATGTGTAAATTAAATCCTTATTTTTTCCCACGGGTTTTTGGCATTAACCCTTTTCGTTTCAATGTCTTTCAGCAAATAACAATTTCTTACGTTTTGACAAAACGTTCTTTCGTTTTACCGGGGCAACGACAAATAGTGTCACACTGTAAATGTTATTTTAGCGGCAAACAAGTATTTGAGTTAGCATCCCTGTTGCATTTTTTTTTTGTTTTCTTCAACAATCGGTTTAGAATTGATTTCTTGTCTTCTTTCGCATGTTTATTTTGATGCTTCCAATATTACCCTTGTGTTCCTTGGCTTGGTTTCTCCGGTTAATTTCAGCCTTTTTGGACATAAAGATTCACTCTGGATAAATCTGCTATCTCCCGCGTCTGATTTTGATATAGTTGAAGCATCCCACTTTGAATTTGACCATCTTTTTAAAATTTTATCGCATCACACATGTAACTGATTGATTGAATAAAAGATTTTTTTAATGTTTACTAACATTTGCAGGTGAAACAAGGCAGCTATCATCAGTTTTCCTGGGTGCTTGGTCTTGATGGTCTTTCGTAACTGCCTCAGCAAGTTGTCATAGTGCTCTCCATTGATGGTGTGGCCCTTTGGACGATAGTCAATAAACACAATGCATCCTAAAAAAACTGATAAAACCACCTGGGTCTTCTAAAGCCAGAAAATATTTTTAAATTGTAAGAATTTTTTTAGAGATCATAATGATTTTTATTACTGATACTGGTTCTACCAATTAACCCATAGCTAGGGGGAGAATATTTGGATTGGTAACTTTTCCAAGAGTATTTTGCACAAGGGAAAGTAATGAACCCGATTGGAATTGGAACTCAAAGAGCCTAATTCCAATTCGGAGCCGTTATCCATTACACCACCTACACATTATCCATTACACCACCCAAAGCTAGCGTTCCCACGCGGTCACCCATCTAGGTAGTGACCAGGTTCGACGTAGCTTTACTTCGGAGATCGTGCTAGAACCGTTTTTTGAATTGTTTATCAGTTGTTTCAAGTTTCTCGAAGTTAGTCACAGAACTAAATTATTTGAGCCCATGAAAAATATCTTTCTTAAAATATCGTTTTTATTTTTATATTGTCCGTAACATTGTCGTTAAAATTAACATTTCCTATAAAAAAAAAAGCAAGAATATCAGATATCGATTTTGTATTCAAGTACTTATTTTAGAAATATTTTTATATTTACACAAAGAACATGGGGAATGTAATAAATAAATGCCAAAGAAGCCGATCCATATCATCCAGCCGCTGTATAATGTAAACACCGTAAAACTGTTCCATGTTCAGTATCTAAGGACGTTAAATTACGTAATCTTGGCTTCCGATGACATAGGTGGTCTTATTGATACAGGTTGCCATCTTAGGCAAAAGAAGGCACATCCAGAAAGGTAACTTGGCTGACAACGTCACTGGGTAGACAGGAAGATCCTTCACAGAGATTCAGCCACTAGTCTGATGCTCAGCAGAGCATTACCACTACAACGAGACCAGGTAAATGAGACTAATGATGTCGATGAAGATGAAAATTTGAAATTTTCATTGAAAACAAAAATAATTATCAGTAATCAGTTAATTTCGTACAGGTGGGTGGTCTGAAAATTTGATGGCTGACTATGAAGAATTGATACTAGAGTTTTGAAATCTTCCATGGATTAATTTCAACACATCTTATTAACACATTTTATTAATAAACACATTGATTCTTTCCAGGTACGAAGGTTGGCTGAAAAGTTCATAGGCTGACTATTAATAAATGATTCTAGAGCTGTGAAATCTTGTACGCATTAATTTCATCTCTTCTTTTCAGGTTCGAAAGTGGGCTGAAAAGATCATAGGCTGACTATGAAAAAGTGTTGCTAGAGTTGTGAAAACTTGCTTGTATTAATTTCAAATCTTCTTATTAATAACTGTATTGTTTCTTTCCAGGTACAAGGGTTGGCTGAAAAGTTCACAGGCTGACAATGAAAGATTATTGCTAGTGCTGTGAAATCTTGCATGCGTTAATTTAAAATCTGCATTGTTTCTTTTCCGATATACTGATTTCTAATTGTTCAAAGAAGATTGTTCATCGTCTTTGTCATGAAAGTCATCAACAGAAGATATGACTTCATCATCAATGCGATACTGCTTATCAGAGAAGTGTTTTGTTATGTCGTGGAAATTAGGTGAATAGAGGCTGTGATCAACCACTTCAAATCAATGAGTCCCGCACAGCCAACTGTTTTTTTTTAATGTTGGGGAACAGATGATAATCTGATGTGGTCAAATCAGAAGAATGGGGATGTTGATCAATCAGTTTAAATCAACAGTCACGCACAGCAACCACTGAAATCATGCATCTATGTACTGGATCGCTATCCTGATGAAACAAGGCAGATTTCCTGGTTGCTTGGACTTGATAGTCTTTTGTCACTGCCTCAGAAAGTTGTCATAGTGCTCTCCATTGATGGTGTGGCCCTTTTGACGATAGTCAATAAACACACTGCCTTTTTCATCCTACAAAACTGATGAAACCAACTTGGTCTTCTTTGAAACTGATTTAAGCAATCGCCAAAAATCCAGTTACCATAAGTAAAATAGTATTGTCTGCTGTATTATTTTAAAATGATTAAGAGAATTGTTCGTAAAACGGGGATTTGGCTGGTTAATTATAGTTCTTAATTAATATTAATTCTATAGCAAATATTATATGATGTTGATTGCTAGCATGAATTTTATTTACAGGTCTCATCTCTTGAAAAAAAAGAAAAAAAAATATTTGTTCTTTGCACCGATAGGTTGCATCAAATAATTTTCTTGCCCTGGGTATGATGATAAACTGCATCTGCGTTCTGGGTAAGACGAGAAACTACATCCGACACCAAGGTCTTTGATCCGGAGATTTTGAGGTGTGTCGAATCACCTCTTAATTGATGGTGTTCCCAGGTCCACCCTGACCCGGGGTGGTAGCACCTGTTACCCAAACTGAGGTCAAAACGTGTAGAAATAGGTTTTAATACCAGCAATACATTTTTGAAAAGATTATAACCAGCAATAAATGTT